TGGACCGGACTCTGTCCTCTTTCTTCCTGCTGGCAGCGAAGTAGTTTCCTTCTAGGATGCAGATTGGATATGACCTAAAGCTGACAGGTTTGAGTTCAGATGCTGCTCCCCTTAAAATGTGCCACATTTTCCTGTGTAAGGCTACTTCAGGGGATGTTTTTGTTTTTTTTTAAAAAAAGAAAAAAACCCACATGGAAAGTATTTGCACAGAAGCTATAACTCACTTGGATCTGTGAACAGGATACTAGAATCTTACTGCTCTGAGACTGTGACTTTTGAACTGTGCTAAATTTACTCTCTGCCCAGTAAAGTATTATTCACAGATTACTTAAATATGTAAGTGTTTTACAGTTTTCAGTAACATCGTCTGCTCATTTTTCAGTGTAGTGGTTTGAGGCACCAGGTTAGAACCGGGAGGCTTTGAGTTCTAGGTGCACACTCTCTCAGCCCTGGGAAGGAAGCAATAGGAAACACTTTGAAGAAATGTGGCCAAGAAAACTGCAGGGACATGTCTAGGCAATTGCCAGGAGCCCTGAAGGCACCTAAAAAGAAAAATCGCCTCTGTACATAACTTTCTTCCTTAGTGCTCTTGCCTACAATATTTCATTGTTCTCCAGAGGCAACTAATATATAATGGAATTAACCCTCAGATTGGTGTAGGCACTCCCCCCCAATGTGCATTGCAATGAAATTTTCTAGAACAGTTACTTAGGGTTAAGTGTTTATGGAAGGGATTTTACAAGGCAGCCACAAAGAATGGTTTCCCACATGAAAAGTACTGCGTCCTCAAAATACAGTATGTTAGGAGAAGAGACTCTAGATTTCTATTTTTTTAATACAATTTTATTAAAAGTTTTAAAACGAGTAAAAATTAATACATGCTAAAATAGAATAAGAAGGAAAAAAGAAAAAGAAGAAATAAAAGAGAAAGTTAAAGTGCAAAAAGAAAAAAAAGGTAGAAGAAAAATAGAAAAGAAAGAAAAAAGATATAAAGAGGTGGTTTCTGATCTTCTTTACAGCAGTTATAAGTACAATTGTAGATTTACCTCGTTCTCTAAAGTTACAGAGACTCTAGATTTTTAGATACAGGGAACAGTTGATGAATATGAGCTGTCAAATATACCATCTTCAACCTACTGCTTTCTAGTGGTATAGTCCCAGAAAGATTTTTCCCCTTTATTCTTATGAATCTGAGATTAATTTTAGAGTTGAAGTTCACCATACTCCTTTCTTTGTTGGTATCTTTGTTTGTAAGCAAACTGACAAAGAATTTTAATCTATCATACATTCTTCCTGCCAGAGATTTACTAAGAAAAATATGGTAACAGTGGGATAAGATTAATCCTTGTTTACTTGACTGGTTACATGAGAATGTCTGGAGTGTGGTGCAGATAAAGCCTTCTATCCAGGTATGGAATAGTGACTCAAGAGGCAAGGTGGTATACTATTTATTATTAATTATAATCAATAATTTATTAATTATATACTATTCTGGGATAAACAAAGAGCACTGATGGTGTTACTGGGTGAGGTAATGAAATGTCTGCAAAGAGAATGCCAAGCTCAGAGATCACCGGCAACCCAACAGTCCAACCCTGATTTATGTAGATTCTCCATTATTGCAATTACTTTTATCAGTAAGTTTAGAGGAAATAAACTCAGTAATATACAACATTACAATATATTGCTCAAGACCAGACATTTTCTTTGAGTCAAGCGCAGTTCCTGTTGATTTCATGGCCATGGCCATTCAGTTTTCTTGGCAATGCATAGTAGTGATTTTGGTCAACTTCTTCTGTTGGTTTGGTATTTTCGCTTCCTGGTCTAGCTTTCAGCCGCGATATTCCCTGGAAGACTGTCATCCAAATCCTGACTAGGACTGACCCTGTTTAACTTTGGAGCCCAGATAAGGTTAGCCAGGAGCTACTACCTGCTGAGACTCCCAAAACCTTAAGGATCGTTCAATAGCAGGCTTTTTATAGGGTCAGAATGAAGATTTAGAGTAGGCTTCTTCAACCTGGTGGCCTCCAGATTCATTGTACTACACCTCCCATTATTCCCAGCTGGCCTATAATGATGAGAAGTTGTAGCTCAATGCATCTGGGGGCCACCAGGTTGGGAATGCCAGATAGCTTACTACTGTACTTACTTACAAATCAGTAAGGGCAACAATTTGAGAGCAAGCTGACTTCAGTCAAATATACAATGTAACCTTTGCTTCCTGAAAATATTTGGCAGGAGCTCCTACAGATTCTTCCTCAAAACTGCATTTCATTGCAGGTGACCACAGCTAGTAACCTTGACTGATCTTAAACACAGTTAAGCAGGATTGGACTGGTTAGTACCTGGATGGAAGACTGCTAGGAAACCAAAGGCTAGCTATAGGCTAAATGGGGAATTTGAGAAAAACATCACATCTTAGAAAAAAATCATGGCAAACCACTTCTGCATTGTTGTCAAGAAAGCAATGTGGACATGTTGGCTAGGCAGTCATTAGACATCGAGGTCAACTGAAAAGGGTCTTTGCCTTTTTTCCCGAAACTGCATGCTAGTTATCTTTCCCATTCTTGGACTGGCTCCCTCCCCCAATTCTGCTTTTCAGTGGTTGCTGAGTTAGACTTTTTCTCTTTCAAGGACCAGTTAGCTCTTTCAACCAATAACAAGCTCTCAGATTATGAAATAGAATCCTGCTTTCTCTGGCCTGAACATGTTCTGAGTTACGTAATGGTTTCAAAGCCATCTTGTAACTGAGATCCATGGTGAGATTAAACACTTTTTAAAGAAGTTAAGTTTATCATAAAAGGAAGCTGTCATGGTTGGTTTCTTAGCAAGAGAAGCGTCCAGGCTTGGTAGCAGAAAGAAGGAAAGGAGAAGCAAACGTTAGCAGTATTTCACACTGCTTCTCAGAGTCTTCTTAAAAACTGCCATCAAGTGAAAAACTAGCAACCCAAACCAGAAGTTAGAATAACATTCACTTCCATGCTGTGCTTTCTGCTTCAGGGGAATTTATGTTCTGGGGCATTTCAAACTGGATCCTCTGACTTCCATGCCAGATTTTCTGGTTAGTGAGATTGTCCACAAATCCACCGCCGTGAACTGCTCCCTACAAGTGACGGGTCTTGGGGGAAAAGGGAATCCCAGAACTAGAACAGAGCTGCAAGGCTGCACCAACAATTCTATTTTCTTATATGATTCGTGGACACTCACCCACCCCTCTGTTCTTTGTAGCCTTTCCTGAAATACTGTCCCAAAGGGAACCTCTTGCTCCTCCTGTTTATCAGTCAGTTTAAGAAGCTAACAGTTTGGCTCCTCTCTTCTATGGATTTTGCAGGGCTAGCTGGCTCTATTGCAGGAATGAATCTGCATCTTCAGAAGGACAGCTTTCTTTGAGATATGACTGTATGGGCAGCAGTATAAAAATACATGAAATTAAAGACACCAGGTTAGAAAGTGGAGACCACCAAATCAGACCAGTCCTAGTCCTTATAGTCATAAAGGGTTAATGCCAAAGGCTCAACTGGTAGAAGCTGGCACACAGGCCTTAAGTAACAAGATCAAGAATTTCTTATCCATCATGCTCCTCCTGGGAACTTTGGTCACTGTATTCTACCTTCTATTTTTACTGGAAATACTGTAAATTATTTGTGGCAAAGAATATGGGAGAACATGTGCAATTTAGCGTTGTGCTGCTTCATTGTCTCATATTTACACTAAAAGGACATTTAAAAAATGACTAAGGAATATATCTACCCTTTACCATCAGAAGTGGAAATTTATTTCTACCTCCTTACAGTAATTTTCTTTCCTGAACCCCAGGCTCAATAGAGCCAGAATTCTTCATAAAATGTCAAATTCCATATTTTGGGACTATAATTCTTTAATCCCAGTCTCATTGGACAACTCAGTTCAGGCTCTTTGCAAAAAATGAAGTGCCCTGTACTGTGATGCTTAGACAAGCTAAGCTCCATACAATAAAGTATTAGTAAATTGTTTAGAATATGTGGGATTTGGCTACTCTAGGCTATTTTCCCAATACATTTTACTAAACTTGCTAAGCTGGATAAGGCTTATCTAAGATTTTGCAAGTAAACCTTGTCAGAGATATATGAACTCAGAATGAAATATTGTGGGCGATCTAATCTCGATTTGAGAGACAGTTTGGTGTAATGGTTAAAGACACCAGGCTAGAAAGTGGAGACCATCAGTTCTAGTCCTGCCTTAGGCACAAAGCCAGCTGGAGTCCTTGGGCCAGTCACACACTCTCAGCCCTAGGAAGAAGGCAGCAGCAACCCACTTACAAGAATATTGGCAAGAAAATTGCTGGTACATGTTCAGGCAGTGGACCAGGAGTCAAGACACCCTCCCCCCCTCCCCCCCACAAAACCGGCAACCATTTAGTGTAAACATTGAAGCTTAAGCAGCTTTCTAAGCTCAGCCAATGAGGAATTTGAGATCAAGAGAAAAGCCTAACGTTTGAAATGTAAAAAAAGTGGGTGAAGAGTGGACCACCTTTAGCTTCCAGGCTGCAATTAGTGCCTCTACACTTAGGCACAGCCCTAGAGCACCTCCCAAATTCTAATCCCAAACCTATAATGTTTCAATTTTTATTCATTGGATTTACATCATATCTTTAAATAGGAGCTTAAAGTAAGATAAGTAGTACTCTCTTCTAACTTATCTTCATAAAAAGACCCTGTGGAGTAGGTTTGACGAGACATTGTCGTTGGTCCAGTATTAACTAGTGGAGGTCCATGGCAGAGTTTGAACTGGAACCTTAATCTCCTTGGTCCTTGTTCACTATACCACACTACTTCTCTCTGAAAGGGGGAAAATATTAAATGCATGGAGAAGTGAACTCACTGCACTTATTTTTTTCCTGTCTCTGCCCATTTTTTTCAATGTGCACCCTCTTTCTTTCTACTATTCAAATACCAAATGTCTACCCCCAGTCAAAACTGGGTGAGCACCCTTGATATAAGTGATGTTCGTGTGCTTCTCTGTGAATTGACTTTACCTTCCTTTTCAGATGCAGCTCTGGTAAATGATCAAACTGTCCTCTAGTCAACTGGTGGCGCGATGGTCCCCCTGTGCTGTTGCTGCCCGCCGGCATCTGTACCAGTCGTGGTGGCCATGACAGGTCCTGCCGTCCCTTCCTACCATTTCAAGAGTTTCTGTGGAGAGTTTGAGCGGGTGGAAAGTGCCTTGGAACGACTGGAGGCCAGTGGCTTCTACTGGGGCAGCCTGTCAGGGGCTGAAGCCAAGCGACTCTTGACTTCCCAGCCTCCTGGTGTCTTCCTGGTGAGAGATTCCTCTGACCATCATCACCTCTTCACCTTGAGTGTCCGCACCAGGACAGGCATCACCAACTTGCGTATTCAGCAGCAGGACTCAGCATTCCACCTGGAGGCCTTGCCAGGGGCTGGCCATCCCCCAGCCTTCAGTTGCGTGGTCCAGTTAGTTGAATATTATCTCTGCCTTGGGGCTGTAGAAGGGGGTCCCTGCTACTTGGAGAGTGAGGGTCAGCCTCCAGTGCCTTTGGCCCTCTCACAGCCACTCCGTTGCAAGGTGCCCACTTTGCAGGATCTGTGTCAGCGGGCTGTACGCGCCAGTGTGCAGGGCAGAGGTGACACCAGGGCTCAGCTGCAGAGGCTGCCAGTCCCCCAGGCATTATTGAACTCAATCTGCAGCTAAAAGGAAGAACTGGGGCACCAGTTTCAAGACCTTGTAATGAGTGCAGAGTTGGGCCCTTCTTAGAATTGATGAATAGAGCTGGTTGTAGATAGCGTATTGCTGACGCTCCACTATTTTCTTGAAATAAACCATCTGACGGATAAACCAACCATTTCATTGTGGAGCTATTTAATTGGTCTCCCAAAAACTGATGAAAATAATCTGAAACAGGGATAGGGGAGAGTGGCTTAGTCAGGTTTCTGCAGATGGGTATCCTATACAACAATCCCCTTCCCTTCCACATTTTCAAGCTAACCACTTCCCACATCTCAAAAGCTTCTTGTGTGCAGGTAGAAATATAGCAGAAAGTTTTATTCCATCCACAGGCAGAGCTGCCCTAGCATCTCCCAATTCTGTTTTCACCTTCAGCTGAAAATTGTTGAAAGATGCACAAGTTTGTGTGAAATGGTCCCATGACAAATGAAGGATCTCTGCTATCTGCACAAGGAACATCTATGAAGTCTACAAAAACACTGCCCGGTAGTAATGTCATCAATTACATCTCAAAAAGTGTTTCAACTTCTTAAAATGCTAGAGTTTGTATTTAGCTGCAACTATTGTGCCTTCTTCTCTATAAACTCTCAAGACAGACAAGGAAAGACTGTGGATATCCAGTAACAAGAATGCTTGAATCTACAACCAAGAGCATTCTTTAGCTTCTTCCTATAGAATATAGGCAACTGTAAGACCAGACTGATGGCAGATTTTCAGCAATAAGCCATGTTGCATCAAATCCGCAGCAACCCTCCCCTCCTCCATTTCCACTTTGACCACTGTGAGATCCTGACCTCTCCCTCCCCACTTCCAGTCACTGCCTTTAGTAAAGGTCATTGCTGTAACTTGACAGCTTTCAAGATTGCTGACTCAGAAGCCAGTTACGAGAAAGAAGTTCGGCGACTTGTTTGTTTTTATAGGCAGCATAGCATACATAGATATGCTGCTGAAGGGTGAGGAAGACACACCAGTCTATGAGGAAACAAAGAGGGCTTCAGTGAAGGGACAATTCCTAGGAGAAAAAAACAAACCAACCTTGCAGCACCTTAAAGACCAGAAAATGTGCTTTATTGCAGATGCCAGTTCTGTGCATTTCATGCAAAACTTCCAGTAAGGTAGCAGAGTTCAGTGATACTCCACTCTTAAGAGCTATTCAATTAAATGCACAACTTCCAGTAAGGTAGCAGAGTTCAGTGATACTCCACTCTTAAGAGCTATTCAATTCTTAGTCCTAAATTTCAAGTCTCTAAGGAACTTAAACCTCCTACTCTCAAATAAACCTTGATCATCTGCAAACTGACTGATTATTTTGCTTTTGGGTTGAAGACGTACGATTTCTTACTGGCAAGCCAGACCACTTCCTGGATCCTATTGGGAAGCCCTGCCAATTCCTCTCCAACAATAGGTAACAGTACGTGTTTTTATCAGAGGCTAGTTTGCTTTCCTGCTTCCTGAGTGAAAGTAACAAAGACGCTTACGGGGGGCAAAGTTAGCAGTGAAGTTTATCTGCTGCTAGATCCACCTTTGGGACACAGCCTAACTTGTTTCCTCTGCCAATTTATTAATTGTTCACCTATGCACTATTTTTATCTGGAAGACCTTTATCAATAACCTCTTGGGGGACTACAGAGGGTTATGTGTGCACTCATTCCAGAATTAATTCCATTTGGGACTGCACACAAAGTACGGGGAAGTGGTATTGAGGGTGCAAGGAACAATGAGTAAAGACAGCATCAGAAATGGCCTCTCTCCAGTTCAGTTTACATTTGGCAAGACAAAGACAAACGAAAGGAAAGAATGAGGTTAAAAGGAAGAAACCAATTCTCTGAAATTGTGCTTTAGAGTGTTGAGTTGGAGCTAAAGTACTATATGAAAGGAAAGAATTGTGCTTTCTCAATATAGCATTCTCATACAGCCAGGCTTGTCACCTCTTCTCCCAGCAAATTTGCATCCCCAATCTTCATCTCTGCTTCCTTCTCATATTCCATTCCCTTTTGTACAAGAAATGAACATCTCAATCTGGGAAGTGTGAAGCCAACAATCAATTCACAGAACTCTCATTGCCCGGTGAGCACAGGCAAGAAAAACCACGTTCAAGTTACCACTTATATTCATAATTCTCTTGACGCCATGGAACGACAGTATTTTATCCACAAATACTTTTTATTGGATAATGTTGCAGTAAGATAGGCTCAACGCCCCACCAGTTTGTATGGCAGGAAAGCCATACTGCACACTTTAATCTTCCTCCTCATCATCTCCACCGCCAGCACCGCCCTGGCCCTTCTTGGCGTTCTTCCTCTTGACACGACCTGGTCGGCCACCACCATAAGGTGAACGGAGGGAGAAGTCAATGTGCTTTTGGGAGTCTAGCCGAACAATGAAGGAAGGGATATTCACCACTTGCTTCCTTACCCTAAAGGGGAGAAAGGACATGATTAGACTAGCGAATAAATAACTTCTAGAACTCATGGGAAATATCTGACAAAACATACAAGCTTTACGCTGCCCAAATGTTTCCTGAGCACACAGCCTACACCCAACTTGTCAAAGCCCAACTGCCACTAGCTTTAAGGTTACATGCAGAGTGATTGCAGAAGAGCTCTCCTGATTCATTTGTAACCTAATTTCACTCTTTAAACGAGCAATCATTACTAACAATGAATTATAGAGCAATCAGAACTGTGTTACTGCTGACTTGACAATAACTCATTCAGCCAAGAAACCTGCTTAACAGTGACAAAACTTCATGTTTTGTAATCTCATTTTATCCTCCAATCCCCAGCCTGTCCCCCAACCCTTTAAAATTTTATTTATGTATCAAATTTGTCACTGCCCATTTCGTTGAAATGACTCTAGGCGGTTTACAAAATGGTTAAATCAATAAAAATTACAATATATAATAAACTTAATAGAAAATAAATAGATCCAATGATAGATATAAAATTGGCGGTCACTCAGGGAGCATTATCAAGGCACCAGCCTGGGTGCCTTACCCCCGGGACTGGGTAAGATTGTCGTCACCCCATGCAATCTGGCAGAGCCAGGTCTTTAATCCTTTCCGGAAAGCCAGGAGAGTAGGAGCATGCCGCACCCCCAGGGGAGAATATTCCAAAGGGCAGGGGCACCGGCAGAGAAGGCTCTCCTCCTGGGCCCCGCCAGCCAACATTCTCTCGCTGACAAGGTCCGTAACATGCCCTCTCTGCCTGACCAGGTGGGACAGGTTGATGTGATGGTGGTGAGATGGTCCCTCGGGGAACCTGAACCCATGCCATGTAGGGCTTTAAAGGTAATAACCAACACTTTGAATTGCCTCGCCAAGGTATGCATTCAGTGCCGGAAAGGAAGCAAAGTACCGGTTGCAACTTGCAGACATCAGAACCTATAATGGCTTTTATGTTCCCGTAAATATGCCATTAAATATGCACTACACTAGAATCCTATACTAATTTACTCAGAAACCAATGCTGCTATTCTATCAAGCTTACTCATTAATAAGTGTGTTTGCTTGTTTAATGTGTTGTGGCTCCTATCACACAAAACAGATACAGAACATTTCAAAACTAGTCAACGCATCAGCATATCATGGGAGAAATTGATTTACATGTGAAATTTACTGTTGCTGCCTGCATTACGTAAAACTTAACTAATGCCAGTTGGTAGTAAAATATGTTTAATAAAGGGAATGGGGAATTTGTGGTTTACCAGAAACTGTCAAACTACAGCTCCTGGCAACTTTGGCTGGGATTGCTTACTGTAACTCAGCAACTGAAGGCAGTATAATTTCTCCCAACCTGTTACAAAATTGTCAATTTACTAGTAGGAAAGGATCATACCAGGTTGCTGCTGTGCTCGCTAAGTAGGAACAGTACTAGGTGTTACCTTGGCCACCCATGTGGCAGACCTTCACAAGGTGTACGGCCAAGCCGCAGTGAACCTTGCCGAAATCTCTGAGAGTTGTTTTGACACTGCTATTCTATTGAGCTATCCAAGGTTTCGATCCACGAAAGGGTTTGGTGGGATATAAAGGCACAGGCCTGGGCCACAGTTATCGCTGCACAGGCTATACGTAAAAGACATTGCACATGTTACTTCAGAGGCAGATGTTCTGGTGCTGATACCCAATGTCAATCCACAGTTATCTTAAACTTCACCCTCCCCCAAACTGGCTCTCAGCAGCATACCGGATATGTCTCTGGCGGATAAGCACACGGGCATGATGGATGGACTTGGCCAGGCCTAGTTTGAAGACCTGAGTTTGGAGACGCCGCTCCAGGAAATCCTCAATTTTCAGACCCAGGATGTAATCCAGTTTCATCTTGCCCTCATCCAGCACCCCAATTCTGACCAAACGGCGCAGCAAGGCATTGCCTGAGAGAGATTTGAGAGACATCAACAAACTGAAGGGATCTTGCTATATGATGTTAAAAGAGACAGTGTTCAAATTAACATTTATGGATGCAGAGTTCAAAAAGATACAACTGTCACAGTAAATTGGCTATGCAAATAAATACAGATTAAATGATCCCTGGATACAGAAATGATATTGGGACAGGAAAAGCATCGGGTAGATCGTGGAAAGTATTATGAATAACTGCATGTTTCCAACTGAGCAGAGACCTTCAGATTAAAGTTCAAATCACACCTCAACATCAATTGCAGCCTTGTTCCCAGAACATATTTAGTCCAATCAGTTGTAACCAGTGGTTCTGCCAATTCTCAATTACCTTAACTGGCTCAAATTTAGGACTACAGAATCCCTACCCATTTATTTCAGAAAGAGTCCACTATCCTATCAAGCCCTTGCACAAGGTGAATACTAACAAGATTTCATCACTAACCCCTTTCTCTTTACTCAGGCTGGTAGACTGGTTTGGCCACTGTAGCCAATCTGTTTCTGGTTGGTATTTTCTCACCTTTCAGACCCTGGCAGTGAATTCCATAATAGACAGGCTCTCTTTTTAAATTTTTTTTTTTTTTAAAGGATGAGGTAAGCAACCTGGACAGGGTAGAGTTAGTTTATCCCTGTATATAACTGGGTCTGTTTACAACTAAATTTAACCATCAGTGGTAAACTGACTAGTTCAATTAATCCCTTTTTGGTGTTTCCATAACACATTAACTCTCCTCCCTTGACCCCATTAAACATGTTGTGGAAATCAGGCCTTCATATAATCTTATCACACACACTACCTATCTTAAAATCAATTAGTGACTTACAAAGCTGGCATGAGAAAACAGAAGTTAAACATATCAAGGTACTCAGCAGGCTTCTTCAAGTGAGCTGAAGCGAGTGAAAGCAACAGCACCACCAAAGCTGTTGCTCAGTATCTAGTTTTGCCATGACATTACCTTCAAAAAGGCGCCGCTGATCTTTCTCATCCAGAGTGAGCAACTCACGGGCAGCTTTGCGGATCTTGGCCAAAGTGAACTTCACTCGCCATACCTCACGCTTGTTCCGCAGCCCATATTCACCTAGTAAAAGAATCCTAAGGTTTTAAATGCAGTTACTTTAGGGCTAAAGCTGTTTCATCAAGGACAGACCCTTTTCCCAACTAGTAAGGCTTTCTCAGGATTAGCCCCATCCCTCTGGAAAAACTTGCTCTTGAGGTTAGTGCATCTCTAACCTTGTGGCATATTGGAAGATGACAAAAACAGAAAACAGCATTTGGATTTATTTGACAGCAGCTATGGATTTATATTCTTATTAGTTTTGTTCATTGGTTTTACAGACAGATCTTTCACCTCACATGGCATAAGTTACCTAGAATTGAAAGACTGAGAAACAAATTCTGGCAAACAAATGAATAAATCTTACCAATAAGTTTCAGCTCCTGATCAAGGCGTGATTTTTCAAAAGGACGCCTGGGGGTGACGTAAGTCTTCCGACATACCCAACTCCTGGCAACAGGCATTCTGGCCTAAAGAGACAGAGGCCAGGCCTGTGGACAGACAATATAACATTTTAAATAGATGCAAACAGTGTAACAGAATGAAACCTTTGGAGAGAACATTATCTATTTATATATCCACTAAAATTTGTGATAGAGTCAACTGATAAAGAGCTTCAGTTCTAAATTGCAGTCTCATCCAATATTAACATAACCTAGTAATTTGCATGACTATTTTATAATCGAACTCATCCTTCAGTTCACACTAATTCTTAACTGAGAATACTGTTCTATACAACAATGAGCTGCACCAGCCTTTTATAAATCTGCCTCACTTCAGCAACTCATTCTCCCCTGCTTCAAGCCACAAACATTACAGTCATTTTCCCCTTCCCTTTTATTTGACTAGTTAGATATTACTTCAGAGAAAGGTGGGGAAAATATTTCCACACAGGTACCAAAGCAAATGGAAAGAAAATTAATTTCCCAAAAGAGAGATGGTTTAAATTGCGTGCATGACAGTAATTGTTGCAGCTTTTGGATAAACATGGTGATACCCTATTTCCAAATTAGGGCAGGACAGAATCTCAAAGGGATGGAAAAGGCCCCATGCACTAGGTGCAGAAAGTAAAAAGACAAATGAAAACAGCTTTAATGGTGCTTATAAACATCCAAGCACTTTTAACACTGTAAATCAGTGGGAGATAAAACATCCTAGTTAATGGAAAGGAATCAGATACATGTAGATTTCACAAACAGTGGCAGCCCCCCCCCACCATTTTCATACCTAGATTTATTTTGCACCACCTCACCCCCATCTTTTATTACATTCAGTATTTATTAACCTGCACTGTTTTCTTAAGATGTCGTCAAGTGAAGAAAATTGTATTTCAATTTATTAACAGTTCAAAATACCAGCAGTTTGCCCCATGTGGCTAAGGCCTTAACTCCCTATACACTGCTTTTTCAAAAGGCCTACCTGCATTCAGCCACTCACCAAACAACCCTGGATACAGGAAGAAGTCTTAGGCTAACTCACATTGACAAAGATTTCAATAAGCATTCTGCTGCATTCCCTCTCACTATGTTATTTATGTTTACTTGTGTTTAAGTGGTCTTCTACAATGTTTTAATTGTTAGTTTTA